CAGTGTCGGGTCTAGTGGAGGCACCCACGCCTTCAGGCCAGGCAAATCGGAAAGAGCTGACTTCCTTCCCGCCTCGTGCATTGCCCCTGCAGGCCGCGACAATGCCAGGCAGAGCACAGCACGCATCAGGAATGTTTCGACTCTGTCCCTGAGTGAGCCGTGCATTCGTCCGATTGTATTTTCAGATCACGCCGAGTAGAAGGTGTTCATCGGAATCCTGCGCAGGTGGTGTTTGAACCAGCACCCGGAACATGCCCAGAGCCCAATGTCGTGGATTCATCTGGTGTGCTCGAAACAGATGTTCAGACAAAGTTTGGCTGCCAGCTCTGGCAATGGCAAGCTGCTTTGGAGTTCGGCAAGTGTGTCGAAGTATTTGTGTGACCTCCTCTGCCAGCCTTTTTGCCTTACAGCAGAGAGTTAGAGAGTTGCCGATTTCGCAGCGATCTTTGCAGCCCTCGATGTCACGCAGCCTGGCTAGCTGGGTGGAGAAGTAAGTGTGCGTGCAGACAGTTTTTATCACACTGCGCCTTCTTTTGAGGGCAGTAGGGACCGTGTAAAATCCACTCCTCCAGTTGGTTGCGCCGTGGAGAAATTTCCAAAGGTTCAGTGTGTTCTGGGTTTTCGGATCAGGGCATCCATGCTCCAGTGGCGGGGGGAGGCTGGGGAAAAGTGGAACGGGGGAGGTCCTGGACTGTAGACACACACACACACAAACACACCGGGGCCAAACCCGCTCTTCCATTTCGAGACCCTGGATAGCATGCTGCCTGAACTCCTCGGCCCTCCCAATACATTCGCGGTTCGTCAAGCTAAATACACTAGTTTCTTGACATGCCAGTATTCGCTAGAGTCGCTAGAGCCTTCTCCCCCTTTGCAAACATCCCACCAAGGTCAGGATAAAGGTATGTGTCATTTTATGTAGGGCTGTTGGTTGTCCCGTATTGACTTGATTGGTATCCTTGTCTTTGATTTTTGATGCGGGTGTCTCTTGTTTTGACATGGTGTGGGATGGCCTAGAAGAGCGCACCTGCTTTGTTGCGTCGCTGAGTTTGGTCATGGCTTATGACTTCCATATCTGGGTGATTGGTCTTGTGGTTTCCTCTCTGTTCCGGCAGCGTAGACGCAGTAGTAGTAGTCGTAGTAGTAGCGGCAGTAGTAGCAGTAGCAGTAGCAGTAGCAGTCGTCGTAGTAGTAGTAGTAGTAGTAGTAGTAGTAGTAGTAGTAAGTAGTAGTAGTAGTAGCAGCAGAAGTAGCAGTAGCAGTAGCAGTAGCAGCAGTAGTGGTGGT